AGAGGTAAAAAAATATGAAGAAGTTCTTGTGGGCCAAAGGGTAGAGAAACACACCTTCGGAGAAAAAAAAAATATGGAGTGAAGCACTACTGAAAGTGCTGAAAAGGAAATTAATGAAAATGCAATGAGCTAAACTGAAGTTATTTTGGTAGATCAGAAATTCTATAGAAAAATATGTGACTTCCTTTTTTCAACCACTTCAGCTTATCTGCTGAAACATGGACGTTGATCTCCCTGGGGATCCCCAAAACAGGGTATATCTTCCAAGGGCAAAGCAGAGTATAAGCTCAGTCTCTGATCTGGAAAACACTTTTCGAGCATCAGAAACAAGCACGATATAAATTGTTTGGGTAGTGTAGAACAATATATTTTAATCACCTTGGAAACTGAAAAAGCTGCTTCTTAGATAATACTTTTCTGCCATAATCAGAATGGTGTGCACAGATTCCAACATTCCCACTGTGAACCAAGTGAAGACTGAGGAATAAACTACAGTTTGCTAATACCAGTCTGCTCTATGTAGAAGGAGAATGTTCTAACATTGTTATATATAATGTCGTTACATAAAGCAATACAACAAAGTCAACACATTGGAATTGTTTGGCAAAAATGATTTATGTATTTAATAGTTTCCACAGCAGTGTTTACAGTCTGAGCTCAGTACCCAATGGTACTACTTAAAATCCTTTCAAGAAATTCACCTTAATAAAGTATTGGCCTTTGCAAGATCCAATTATGTTGAAATTTGTTAAAGCAGTATATTTGTATTACATTTTAGTACAATATTCCCAGTTTTGATAGCTTAATTAGATGAATAAAAAAGATTATTTCCTCTCTAGTGGGTCCAATAAAAAGTACAATTTTGTACTTTTGTGATGCACTAACCAAGGGTTAAATTTTGGGGAGCTTACCAGCTGTTCCAGTATGAGCAAGCCATCATTTGAGCAGCTAGGCTTAAAGCAACTGGCATACTCTTGAGAACAGTCAACTTGCAAGAGAGGTGTTTAATAGTTCCCCTTCAAATGGGAAATGTAAACAAAATTTTCCTCAGTTGCAAGTAACACTGAGCTGTTGGACAGATAATATTCAGTACTGAATAAATGGCAAGGGTAAGAGATGAGTGCAATTCCTCAGAACTAGACTGCACTTAAATTGAGAATATGTATTCTTCTTGGAAACTCATAGATCAGCACACTGGGAATCTTATTAATAGAAAGAGCTATTTTAGGTATCTAGAAGTCATTTAAAACTGTATTACATATAGCTTTCCCTTCTGAGTTCTAGGAAATTGGATTAATGGTATGCACAAATGAAATTTCATACTGTGAAGTAGGGAGGAGACAAAAAAAATCCCTGTGATTTCTTATTAAAATATGTCTCAAAAGTACAGTTATTTTTCCACTTAAATATTTGGCATATCAAAAATGTGAGAGAACATAATGAGGTACAAAGATTTTATTAGCAGCTCTTTGAGATGTTTCATGAATAATTTGGGGGACAATAAAATCCTGATATAGCCTCACTATCTCATCCCAGCACAAAAGTTTTTGGATCACATGAAAATGCAGTTCACTACTTCCTATGTGAATATGGGAATGTATTCTATTTAATATTTTCAATTATAGCAATTACTAATGCACTAGCACTAACTGATATACAGTGACTACACTGCAGCCATGCAGTCAGAGCCAGAACTGCAAACTCGCACAGCAGCTGTTGCCAATGAAAAATCCACCAGCTACACCTCTGTTCATGGTTTTTTTCTGTTATTCCTGGAAAAAACAGACCTGAGAATGCTGACACAGACAACAACTGTGTTTTTGTTAACTTGCTTTCCATGCAAATATTTGTTATTCCACAAAAAGAAGCAAATCAAAAGTATTTCCTCTGTCTTCTGATCCAAATTTGATCTGTTTAAGTGCATAAGTGATTACAGTTAAGAGTGTAGTTTGAAATATCTGAGAATGGATTCAAGTCTTCTCTCTGATTCAGAGTAGAGCATCGCCTTCTAAATCAGGTAAAACAGGAACGTGAATTTCAGTTCCTGCAGATATTTTAGTACAGAGTTTCCCACTGCAGCAATACTTTTTCACTTAAAGTATTCTTATGATCTCCTGTTCTCTCACACCTTTAAAGCCCTCTTATGAGAATCAAAAGTAGTCCAAACGTGGCTCACCAGTTTAGCTTCTGCTGGATGATTTGTTGGTGTCAACTTGGCTTCAATTCTGTCTGGAGATTAAAGACTCAACACTGCCAACTTCAACCATCTGTCATTACTCTCAAGTATGTTTTAGCTGTGATATTTACCTACTTGCTGCTGTTTTGTAAATAGAACACAAAATTATGACTACTTTAGCACTTAACCTTTCCAGAGACCTTACCTCCTGATTTAACACCCAGACCTCACTCATTGCTTAGATAGAGGTCCCAAACCAAATCCACATTGATTGTTTTGCCTGTGATAATTTAGCATCTAGATGACTAAAGTATGAAAGTTTTCATTTGAAGCAGCATCCAAAAGCTTCAAAATGTCCAAGACCTTTCAAAATAATGTCCTATTAAAATAATGAACATTTCCAAAACATATTAGTGTCTATGTCTGTATGCATATATAACACAAAATAAAACCATAGCCATTTGCAACCATACCACCTTACATGTCAACAAAGAGAGCACTATATAAATTAGACAGATATAGATAGATATAGCTTTTATCTATTACAAAATAGATAAAAATTTCTCTGTAATTTATGCCATAACAACAAGGGCATCTCCATTGCATTACTAATAGGTGGTATATCAACACAGGACATTGTCTAAGACTGAAAATCATTAGGCAGTTTTGGCAAAAAAAATGCTGAACAGTTCAGTTGCACAGCCTTGGAGTGGCTTTTTTGTATTTATTTTTAAACTACATTGGTGAATCTGTGTCTTTGGATAGACTATAATTACTGCTGTGATGTAGAATTCTTGTCTAAATAGCATCTATGGCTAACCAAATTTGTTAATTTGGTTATACATTGCCTCAGAAGGAAACGTTCAAATCCAGGTTTGTCCAGATGAGTGTTTAGTACAGTCGTGCCCATCCTGATTTAATGAATCTTAAAAAAAAAATATTCTGAACAAGAGTTCACTGTTAAGAGGAGGATGGTGAGTCCTATAACGTTGTGTTACAGGAATATTAGAAAACAGGAAACAGTTTTCTAATATTCCCTGGCCCTTTCAGTCAAGCATTTACATAAAAAAGCCACAGCAAAAACATTGAAAGGAAGAAAACAACACCTTGGGTATTAGTCAGAGGAATGAGCCTATTGGAGGCAAAGTGAATAAATGGGAATAACATGAAAGCTACTGATGAGCAGAAATCACATGAAACACAATTGAAAGAAGAGTGATTGCTACTAGAAGCATTTGAAACTTTCTTCCTTATTTCCCAAGAAAGGTCTGACACGGCCTTTACATTACCCTCTACAGAGAATTGATTTTGCTAGAATAATCTGGTTTTGTGCCTTTTTTCTGGAAACAGATTTTGTTAACATTCATAATCACTTTTCCTTGGGGTTCATTTTCATTAACAATGTACAGTATTACAAAAAGAAAGAAAAAACTTTCTTAGCCTTTACCTGCCTCAATTGTTAAGCAGTGACCCATTAAAACCTTATGTTTTAGGTTAAAACCTAATGGTTTAGATGAGCCTCTGGAAGGGAACTATGTCCTTTCCCCTTTCTTCCATGCCACCTGGTAGAAGGTGTTTGCACATTAAACTCACTGACCATCTGAGTTCCACAGTCAGTGGAACTTGAAATAAGTGCTGACAAAACAGTTAGTGTTTATTTTATGTCCATTATCTGCTGCTCGCATCTTGTTTATGATTTGTTAGTATATTTAGCTGCCAGGTTGAAACTATAAAATATATCTCAATGTCAGTGGGAAATATTCTGTGTAAAATATGTTAAAAGCATTAGTGGTAGTCTACGAATAGCCTAGAAAAAGAGTAGAAAAGTCTAGCACTGATCTCTGTGTTTCAGGGCACTCTCTGCCTGTTTTTCTTAGCTAAATCTGTGATCACTAGGGAGGTGGAGGTTTTAGTCTTTATCTTTTTTTAAAGTTGTTAGCTGTTATTTTACGTAAGGAATAGCAGTCATAGGGAAAGCTTTAGGACTACTGCATTAAAAAACAAAGGCTGAGGTACTAGTACACCTGGGTGCATGGACTCAACTATGGAGACCTCATAGTGGACCCAGTTTCTCCAGCTCTCAAAGATACCACTAGTTACAGCAACACTCTTCCTTGTAAGAGCAGTAAATCCCTCTCAAATCATTAGAGTCTTTCAAACAAACTTTTTGTATTGTAAGATCAGAAAACACTGGAGAGTCAAACACTAAAACTCTTGTTATTATATAGCTTAAAATAGCAAAGGCCAAAGTATGTAAACATTAAGAATTTGCTTCTCTAAAAGCCCTGATGTCATGTTGGATATACTACTTTATTAAATGGGCATCATTACTGAACTCATCATAAAATTCAAAAGATGGATTTTATGCAACATTATGGTTTTTATTAATTTTTAGCACAATCTTATGTTTCAATTCATTTTGTTTGAGGTTTACAGTTCTGTCATACTCCTATTTTTCTTAACCTGTAAGGAACATAAAACACCACCTGTTGCCAGGAAGAACTCTCCATATACTTGAATACAAGCAGTATTTTATATATATATATATATATATACATGTAAGTATATATATATAATTATATAGTATTATAGCCTTATAGTCAGATAATAAAAATGTGTAAGTTTTTTCCCATGTTTGAGCCATACTACACACATGGTATTGCATACAGTTTGACAAGTGTAATGACAGCCAGAGAGCTGTAAAAATTTAGAAGGGCCTGTTCACTGGAAAAGAGCAAGAAGACAATTATCCACAGGTGCTCATTTCCCTGCAATATAGCTAAATATGTAAGTATGAATAGCTGAGTATCTTGAACCAACTTACCAATCTCTACTGGGAGATGGTTGATTTGATTTTTTGACAACTCCAATACTTTCAGATCTTGAAATAATGCAATGTAGGCTGGAATGGTTTGTATCAATGTATTGTTCACGTGCCATTCTTTCAGGTAGGTTTGTTCTTTCAGAGAATCTGGGAATTCCTGTAAGTGAAATAAGAACAGGTGAATGGAAAGCATCAAGTTAGAAGAATTTTGTTCTACCATGTTTCTAAATACAGGGGCAAAAAAATTCCACAGCCCAACCTCAACACTTTGCCTTAACTATCTTGATGTAGAACAGCAGTTTGCCAAAACTTCATAAGAGCTGTTTGCTATCAAAGATCATTGCAGCTGTCTGTCAACACATATTCACTTTTTTTTAACTGCTAATGCAATTATTTTGCTCTAAAACTGAAACCTGTCTGAAGCACTCAACCTGTTTGGGGTCTTCCATATTATCTCCTTTTTCCAGCTGGAGGATTTTTTCTTAAAACACATTTCAGTGCTTTAATTCACACATCAAGATGTAATAAAATGCAACACGGAAGAGAAGAGCAGGTGTGTGGAGAATATCTAAATAGAATTCGTCACCAGAAAAAAAAAAACCCAACTGTGACATTCTTAATACTAGCCAATGTTTCAGAATTTGTTTGCCAAAATGGAACAGAGTCCAAGGAACAGAAGCATTTCAGATAGGATACCCACATACCACATTTTTAAAGTCTCTTTTCAACTAAATGACTTAACTTCCAATGTTATTTCTAGAATGTTTGAAAATTTTTACTAAATTTCTTTAGGAAGAATAAAAATACTCAGTTTTTAAATCAGTCCATAATTGCAATTAGTTCTTGTTTTATTCGTGCCAAATCTTTTTCTTTAAGAATTCTAGTATTGTTCCAAATACACAGCAAATAAATTGGTTTCTGAGTAATTTTCAGGCTATTTTGTTCGTCCAAATTCTCTAATGTATAACAGTTACTGAAACTAAAGTTCTGAAGCCTTAGATTCTTACAAAATTGCTTTAGTTAATTGGTATTCAGGTCAGTTGCACACATCTTTGTTTGAATTATGTCATCAAATTCCTTGAACTTGAAAGAGACAAAAATCAATTCATAAAATTGAAGGTCAGATCATTTAAACTCCATTTTCTAAAGCAACACATAATTTACCAGCCTGTCCTGGGTTTTATATGACTGTGCATTGGTAACATATGGAATAAATAATCTGGATGAAATGCTATCACTAACTTTGTTCCATAAAAGGAGATGTAATACTTTAATTCCTTTATAACTTCCAATTTTTTTTCCTGTGCATGAAGAATACAACACAGTTGGAATTACTGGTTTTTATACAGAGGACATTCTCACTTTTCTTTTTTCATTCTAGATTTCATAGATTCCCCAAGACATTAAAAAAAAGTGATGCATTTTGATGTTTTTTTATTAATTCTGAACTTCTGAACTAGGAATAGTGCTACTTAAGTCTTAGCTAAATTAAAACATCTAATTGTAATTAAAGATATACTGGACTGTTGATCATAAACTGTTCTTGTTTGGTTGTTGCTGTCTCTAATTTCAGTTCTTTTCAAATTCACACATGGACACACTTAGCCTATATATGTAGTTCTGACTTGCTACCTACCCTTCCATATTTGATGTGGATCATTTCATTTCTTGCTTCATTTTCCCACTAGGTCTATATTGTATTATGATCCATCTTCTATATTTGTCAGTTTACAGCAGTTAAAAAATAAAATGCCTGAAATGCCTCAGGGCTGGTAATGAGAAATCTCTCCAACTTTCTGGAGTGGGTTTCCACTCCTCCACCTTTAGCGCTGCACATTTTTCTGCAGCAAAATAAAATAATAAATATCAAGTACAAATTCAATTACTATTGTCTTTCCCACCTGTACAGAATGGAAAATGCAGCACACAGGGGATAGCATTTAGCTGGTGTGTCGTGGATGCCACTGTAGGGAAGAATCTTGATTCACAGAGAAAGCAGATGCAGAATAGTCATATTGGAGGGAAAAAGATGTCTGGGTAACAGATACTGTTTGCCACTCTATTTGTCCACACTCCAGGTCTGTCTTTGTCTTTCAACTGGTTTTTGCACCTTGTTGTCACAACGGACCATCTCCAGCTCCTTACAGGCAGATACAGCAGGGAGCAGAGAGGAATGCTTGCCCTTGTGGAGCCAACAGACTTGCTCTTCTCCCAGACTGAAGGGCATAGCCCACAAACTTCTCCCTAATATGTTGAAAACAGTGCAGCACACAAATCACTCTCTCAGATTAAGATCAAATGTCTTCCTAATTTTAGAAAAATTAAGCCAAATTATTTTTTTTAAATCTTTATTTCTGTATTAATGGTAGTTTAAAGCACCAAGATAGTCTTGTGCAGCAACAGAAATAAATTCAGGCATGGCTTCAAAGGAGTGGAAGGAGGTTTCATTCTTCTGTCAATTGCCCTGACTTACTTTTCTTTCTTTATATTATTTCCTTATATCTTATAATCATATTTACAATTTGCAAATGTAAGCTTACAAATACTTTGCTATAATGTGGGTTTTTAGCATTTTCCAACTTACAATGCATTTTATTTGTGTTGCTGAAACATAAATTGATGTGGTATTTTTCTTCATTTATAAACTAGATAGGGATGGGGAATGAAATTTGCACAAGCTTTATGTTTGCTTTACTCTCTGATTCCCTTGTGTGTTCTTTTGTAATCTTCTGCTGCCACACTAAAGCTGGCAGTCTGCTGATAAATTGCTCCACAAAGACTGACACTTGGAAGATAGCCAGTCGTTTGCCTTTAACAGCAAAACAATACCTCAAACTCCTTTGATTTTTGGGAGCAGGAAAAAAGTGTATTAAAAGAAAATAAATAGCAAACCTACAATCATTGCTAATTATACTATTTCTAATTAGGACAGAATTTACCTACTAGATATGAGCCTGAACTAAAACTGTGATCAAAGCTCCTAGAAGTTTTGGTTTTGTTTCTTTTCCAACTGTGTAGTTTTATCTGTCACGGGTCAAAAAAATCTTAGATTTAAATCTCCCTCATCTTTGAGAAAGCTTAGAGCTAGTTCCAAAACTAGCATGTCTCAAGGCCACCTGTATTACCGGACTGGGTCAGGAATTTTATACTTCTGGGGGGAAAAAGATCTCTGGAAGTTAAAAAAGCACAAGACAGATTTTCTCCATCCATTCAATGCAGCAATTCTATCTGACCCTTTGTGGCAAATAAATACCTCATTGTTACTAACAGCTGGGAACAACAAATGGAAATTCTCTGTTCTCTGTGAAAATACACAGCACATTAGAAAATAAAACTGGGAGAATAAATACAGATGTAGTAATTAATTTGATGTCTTTTTCTATTAAGAAATGGTATGCAAGAAGGTCATGAGGTATGAGTAAAGAATTTTACCATTACTCATTCATTTACTTATTCTGCACATTTGAATATTAAAGCTGTTTAAAGTACGTATGCATCCAGATCCTCTGCTTAGGTAAAGCAGCACAGACAAGAGCAGTCTTGCTCTGCATTTGAGGGAACATCATCACCTTTCCTTTGCCAATATTGATATCACAAATTCAAAAATTTTGTTTTCCTGAATATTTTCTGAATATCATTTAAAATTCACTGATCCACTAGAGAATAAACATTCATTAGTTAGAAGCAGAAAGTAACACTCAGAGGGGAAAAAGAGTTAAAGTTAATTCATTGAAAAATTCATATGAATATTCATGGCATTATTTTGCCACAGTTTTCATTCTGCTCTAATAGCAGTGCTATTTTGCTGAAGAACTCATTTAATTCGGTAGATACATGTTTACATGTACAAAAGATCTCAATTAAGTGTTTCATTAACCCTCCATCTGATTCAAACATACAGTTCGAGTCCAAAGTCCTTATATAGCTCCTTTTCATGGTGGGTTTGCCTGGAAAAATCTCAGATAAATATTTTTTTTTCTGAAACATACTCAAATTATTGTGGCACAGTACACCATTTTCATGTCAAGTCGCAAGGGTGTTGCAAACATAGGAGGATTTAGGAGACTCGGTGCTGGGGCAATACAACTGAGTTCTGCCCATTTTTTTATAAAAAGAAGAGAAAAGCCTGCTTTCATTCACAAATCAGACTATGAGACTAGTTCGTTTGTTGTTATAAGACCTTTTCTTTTCTAAATTCAAATATTCATTCATTACTGTTCCCAGCTGGCAGAAATGCACGACAAACTTGTGTCAGAAGTATTTGACTGGCATGCAGAAGAGGAGGCAAGGACCGTTGAACCTTAAGGATGTTGTCACACAGCCTCTTCCAGGTGGAGCTCTGACAGTCAAAGGTAAAACTGGCTCATCATTACGGTTGTCAACCACTGTCCACAGCCAGAAGCTAGCCACCCTGGACAGACAGGAGGACTTTCAGATTCAGAGAGATCCACTGAGTACATGTCTTTCAAACATACAGGCTTGATACTAATCCTATTTACTGCACTGTAATTCAGAAGATTTCCTTTAAGTTAGTGTGACCCACGCTGTTAGAAAACCATTGTGACTTGAGATGTCTAGACGCTCAAACTGCATGTCTCAAAAAATTAGCTTATAGGTGAATAATAACTAGTAAGAATTAATGATCCACAAGGAATTATGGATCTGCATAAATAAAATACAATTCCTCAGAATTCATATACTGTAAAATCAAGCCCTACTCTCTTCGGCTAGTACTCTGTACCTGTTTGTTTAACCTAGTATTCATTGTATGAGCTTTATATTTCCTCAGATATGTTAAAATAATTACTTAACAAGTACAAGAAACAGTGCGTCTCCATCTCATGAAAATACACTACCAATTCAAAGCCATTTGAGAGGTGGGAAAAAAAGGGGCACAGAGGTCCTTAAGGAAGACATTCCTATCAAGAATTAAAAATGTGTAATCTGCTCTGATTTTCTCCCTTACAAAGGTTCTCAGGAGGAGATCTGAGATTATTTACAAAATAACTAGTAATAAGCTACCCCAGTACATGATGGAGTGTTCTACAAAACCTATTTTTACCCTCATACTCAACAATGCAGAATCAGTGGGTCAGATTCACTGTTACACTGTATGGATATGGAGCATGAGACAAGAACATCCTTGTGACGTGTCTACATTTTTACCATCTAGACAGCCTGGGCACTGATTAGTGCCAAACACAAGCTACCATTCTAATTGGTTGCAACATTGCAAGTAGCACCAGTAGCTGATTCGTGGACTCAGTTTATTTGCTGCTGAAGTTTCCAGTGAGAGACCTTACATTGAGACCTGTGGGAAGGATGGGTAAAGCCACTTGCTTTGATCTTGAAAAATCCCTATGCTGGCGATTACTCCTCTGTCAGACTTAACTTCATAGTGTCCAGAAAGAGAACTGGTACAGCCCAGAAGCAAGCCCAGTTCTCAAAATTAAATCTGTAAGTCATACCAGCAACCTACTCAGATTTAGCTATCAACTGTCCAGAAGGTATATTACTGCTTCATTTATGAGACAAAAGGGGAAACATGATAGAAATACTTATCAGCTAAAAGCAAGTGAGACAGAGGATTCAGCAGCTAGTTCCCAAACAGATGCTTCACAGGGCTGTGCTGTTTGCTGTTGTCAATGGTAGGTGGTCAGCTAAAAGCAAATCAAGCTGATTATGCACCTGTAAAAATGCACAGGCAATCCCAGCTCTGACTTTTCCTAGTGTCTGAGTGTTTAATCTTCCAAATGTTCAACCCATAGATGCATTTGTGCACAAAACACATTACAAAAACTAAACCACAAGTAATACCAAACCTCCCAGCTACCTAACATACAGGTTTCTCCGAGAAAACTCTCACATGTCCACAGATCTTTTCACATGCAAATTGCCAGCCTATGCGGCTTTCATTTTGCCTAGGAGCACTTTTTTGTGAGAGAGTAATAGGGGGAAAGAGCGTTATGTCTGATCCCACATTTGGTTTAGAAGCAGCAGTTGAGATTAAAAAAAGCAAAATAAGTGATGTGATTTGTAAAACCAATACAATTTTTACAAAATTTCTGCAATAAGGGGAAATTCACTCCTTTCAGAATTTTGTCAAGCGGATTTGTACATTTTTAAACTAATTTTCAGCTGTTAGAGACTGGCAATGTTCTTTGATTTTGAAGGATAATTGATCTTCTGTAAATAAAGCAGCTTTGATTTTATCTTTGTCTGCAGACACTTGAACTATGTCACAGTATCTTGTCAAAACAGGAAGCCCACTTTAACCAGGCTAGAGCTGGACAATGAAGCACAGTGGTATCACACATGTTGGTTAGGAGCATATTGCTCAAGGTGGCTCAATGTACATAACACTACACAAGTATCTCTTAAATATAATATTTCAGTATGTCAAATTGAAATGAAATGCTCTGGAAAACAGACCAAATTACATATGTTTGACTTTGCCTCCTCATGTGAAACCTTTTTTATGGTGACAGAGCAAAATGTTAATGGTTTGGCAAAAGAAAATAAGCAAAAGAAAAGTTTAGTTGTGCAGCCCTCTGCTCCCTGATGCACTGAAAATATTTGCAGTTGCTACTATATCAGTGTCTAAGGAGTTGTAATATCTCTTTTTTTCTCCTAACATACCTACAAAGTTTACATCACAGGAAAGTGTGCAGTATAAGACTACGCAGCTTTAACATCATTTTCAATATCCAAAATTCTTGAAAGATAGTTCTCTAGTAACCAATCCTACCACATGAATCATTGGCATCAGTTGAAGAAAAGTCTCCTTACTAGAGCTGGATGGGAACCAGGGTTTTCTGTTTTCCAGAAATTTCACCTATTTTATGTTTATTTAGAATAGAAATAAAGACAGGAAAAAATGAAAGTTGAAAAAGAACACACCTTCATATTCAAGATCAAATATGGGAAAAAGTAAAATTTCAGGTCAATCAAAAGATTTGCTTTACTGAAATTTAACCACTTTATTGATCAACTTTTGAATTTTTATTTTTTGTAATGAAAGTCTAAAAAACATATTTCAGAATTATAAACTATAAAAAGTCAAAATTCTAATTTCACTTTTTTATTAATAAAGTATTGTATGTTTAAAATATATTTCAACCAAAGCTTTAACAACTCTAGAGAACTTCAGACCAACTCTAATCCACCTTTTCCTGAATTTCAAAACAGCACTAATTCAGAGCTTACTTCCAAACTGCAATTTCATATCAAACACATCTACAAGTAAAAAGTGATTTTTTCAGCAAGACCGTTGTGGATTGATGTTAATATTAGTTTTGATTTGAGCAGAGCTTGCGTAAAGTGTTTTCACACTGTTAGAGCAAGAAGACAGATCTCTGAGTAGTAGAAGACATCAACAAGCCAATAAAGCTGAACATTATTTTCATCTCTTTCCATCCATTGGGGAATTTCAGAGAAAGATATCTTATTGCAATATGATTGCTTATACCTAAATTTTTGAGAGAGCTAAATTACATGTATCAGTTAAGAATTTAAAATAAGCATATTTGAAAACTGAACCACTAGTTCAGGGTAAGATAGGGAATGTTTTTGTCACTTCTAACACTGTGAAAAAACATCAATTTCATATTCATCGGCAAAAAAAAAGTTTTGGGGGATTAAAAGTTACAGTGCTAAGGTACCCAAACTCTTTAACAATAGAAACATATTATCCATTATATTTACCATCCACTGCTCTCCAGAAAGCTGAAAAATAAATTTGTTTCCTTCCTTATTTGCTTCATCTGACAAAGCCTGCCTCTTCTGGAGCTGAGGAGACTTTCCATAATTGTCCAATATCTTCTCATCGGTGTCTACAAAGCCATTCTTCAGGTATGTCCTGAAATGGCACCAAAAAGGGATTATGTGAATCAGCTGAAAAAATATGGCAAATAGGTCTTAAAAGCTTAATCTTTGCACAAAGTGCTTACTAAAATATAATTATACACCTACCATATTGACCATTTAAAAAAAAAATCTCTGGGGTCATGCTTAGTTTTTCTAGACTTACATACAGATTTCATTTACTGACTGAAAAACAGTGACACTCAGGGAATAACAGAAAAGTGGAGACTGAGCACACTGTCACAGAAAACAGCATGAATGAAGCCCTTTATTTCAATAGGGTAGGAAATACATTCTCACAGAACAAGTTATAAGTATAAACAAAAACAAGGATCTGGTGATATATGCAAAATTTTTCAATTGAAAAAAAGTAATTTTAGAAAGTAAGAATTTAGAAATATTCCCTTTTCCCTGCCCTTTCTTATTTAAGTATAATGATCTATTTTTATTTGTTACACATTATCTTCCACTATCATCTTAGAAGGTGGAGGTAAAGGTCAAAGTTTCCACATGTCAACTAATTTCAGATTCAATTTCAGTGTTACTTTAGGCTCACCTCCAGGGCACTTTTACCCTGTAACTTCAGGTGCAAATTCAATTTGATATAATTATGCATTACCAAAAACACATGCTTTAATTTAAGAGAGATTTATTTCAGCTTAGTCAATTAAGGAACAGGTTGATTAACGGAAGCAAGCCTTCCTTATATCAAAATAAGACTCTGCAGAGCCCCTTGATCATAAATCTGATCTCATGCTTTGAATGTTTTATTCCTGTGGTACATGCAATTCATTTATGTGATCTCCATCCTCTGGCATAAATTTTAAGCTAAGGACTTGAGGAAGGGCACAAAGTTCAGGATAATGTGTCCCCTTGAGAAGGTCAAAAATGGCATGTCCTAGAAGGAGAATCAGATGCAAGTTCATAAAGTCCAGGTAGGAAGTAACAAAACCTGTCCACATATTCCCAGCTAAGCATGGGATTTTCTCTAAAATGCTAAGATGTTTAAACAATGGCACATGAAACAGCATGTTTGGTTTTAAGTCACATACAAGAAATCAGTTACAAACTTAGGTACAAGAAGCATCTTCCAAACTTGGTGAAAATAAGTAGGTTATTGGATACTTGTAACAAAGTATGAGATCAAAACTGCAGGGCAGAGTATATTCATGGGAATATGACAGCATAGGTTAAAAGTCATATTTGACTCTCAATACTATCAAAATAAATCTTTAGGGATCAAAACTGCATGAAAGGTATTACTGAGACAGCTGCAAACTGCCCAGCACAAATTGTGGCACTTACTGAAACCTTAAGGGATGTTGGAGAGACTTGCAAGTCAAGAGTACAGCAACGGCAGGATTCAGCTATCAGCGCACAAGCAGCACATGGACACACTGTAGACAATTTACAATTTTGGAAACTACGTATAACTTTTTATCACAGCTGCTAGCCTGAGAGACCACGAGAGAACCTGATTTAGTTTCAAGCAGCAGCACACTATACATGGGTCATCAGAGAACTACAGAAAGCCCCTTCTGTAATAATGACCACAAGGTACTCCCATGCAACATCTTTACAAAGAGAAAATAAGGAAAAACATCTTCTACAAATATTTCAGAAGATGAGATACATATAACAGTGAAGTTAGTGAAAAATGCAGCTCACTGGGTAAAGTGATGGCAGACTGCATGAAGACAGCGTGACCTCAGAGTAAGTATATTTTAACAAAGCCGCTTTAAGGATCTTTCTCCCCTCATTTCCAAAAATAGAAAAAAGAAAAGAAAAGATAAAATGGCATTTACATTCAAATGAAGAAATGAGAAGGCAGTACAAGATCTGATAAATTAAATGTAAAAACACAAAAAAGCAAGTGAAATCACTTACTGCAGGTATACAAATTAACAGTAAAAGGATTTCCAGCATATCAGAAGCAGAAAGCCTCTCAGAGGGACTGTGGGAGCAATAACTTATCACGGCATGAAAGGAGCAGTAAAGGAATAGTCAAAGAAGTTACTGAGAGTTGCAGAAAAGTTACTCATCCTTGTCTTCAGTTTTCATTAGTGAGATCAGTATGCTTTTTACAGGTAGGCATCTGGAGGGCTTTCTGATATTTGAAGTGACAATAGAGGAGACTTGAGAATTAAATTTATATTTATATTTGAAATAAATCTCCCGGTTTCTCTCAGTGTCTAATTGTGGACTACTTTACACCACAGCACGCTGTGATATGTAAATGATTTGAGAAGACTGGACAGACAGAAAACTCCTCCAGCAACACATTCAGGTCAGGGATTCTCTAGAGGGGAACTGAAGCTGATCAAGGAAGAGACCACCACCAACCCACAACATCTGAAAATCTTTCCTGAAGCTAGTTGTTATAACAAAGACAAGAAAATAAGTTAGAGCAGACACAGCTCCTTAGACCATTTTTGATCCCTCAATGTGCTGCAGCTGATGCCTCTGGTTAGAGGGAGAGACACACCTGATTGCACTAGGCAGCCCTCCCAAAGCGTACCCCCTCCAGCTGCAGTCTGGAAGTGCTTGGATGACAGAATTTTCCATACCAGTGGACATGAAAGTTTAAACACCTCTTTCAGATGTTTTGACACATAAGCCAACTGAATTTTTAGCATTGATCTTGAGTATTCAATCTATCATTTGAACCCCAGAGACCACCCGCACACCAGAGGGCAAATGGTGCAATAGCAAGAGATCATTAGGAAAAGCTAGAAAATAACATTTTCATATACTATTAAAAAAAATAAACAGGCCCAAACCACCTACTCATCTTTTTTCCAAAACCCATCTACCAGTGAGCATAGCTAATTAGCAATAAAAGCTCCATATTACTGTGCAAGGTGAGTGGGAGGTGAACTGGGGGGGGTGGGAGGAAAGTGAATTGAATCCCCAAGGAAGAGAACAACAAAAGGATATGAACCATTAAAAAGGAGGAACTGAAAAGGACCAAAACCCTGGCATCTTTTTTTTTTTCCTAAAATCTTATAAATAATCCTAGCTTTACCTACCACTGCTGTACTGCTGCTTCTCACATCCTCCGCCAGATCTCCGTGTACAGATTTTCTGTCCCTCTGTGAAGCTCAACTCTGCATTACTGCCCTCTCATTTCCATGGAATTCCCTCATTTTTTCACCAAAGCAATAAACATTTGATGTCAGTCCCAAATTCAATGACTGAAAAAGCTTGCCCTGCAAGATGTTTTTTTTGTGTTCATTGCTCTTCACTTATGCACAAAAAATGACTGACTTGTTTCTCACAGTATAAATTCTAAGAATATTAGACACTTAACGAACAGAAATAAGAGGTCAAAAAGTCTAACTCATGATAAAAAGTAAGGCACTGAGCTGCTTTACTATACCTCAGTGCTGACTCTGTCAAGTAGGCCCCCGGAACACAATAGCAAAGGGACCAGATCTAAAATTTTACTCTCACAGCAAGTAATATAGAAAATGGCAAGAAGGGAGCTACCTTAAAGATGAAACAGTAAACTGTCTGCTGACACTTTACTGATAATACATACAAAACACAAATCTCAGGAGGTCATGATACATTGTTAGCCAAATAAAATGCACATAACAAAAACCGCTGTTAACCAAATCAGTCAATGAAATAATGACCTCAGAAGAAAGGCAGGCATTAAAAATTAAACCTGGTTAAAGAATTCAACATGGATATCATGCACTGATGTGGAAATCGTGTGTCAAATTTCTTCTTTACTCATACATTAAATGATGGCAAAATGCTCTGTTAAGCTTTTAAAGAATTCCCGCTTACGGTCACCAGGCTAAGCACGATGTACAAGCACATTTTGAACAGATGGAAAGTGAATCAATAATGGAGCACAAAACACACATAATTTTGTACAGTACATCTCAGAATGAAAATACGATATATCCCACGGGCAAAGGGTCTAACAATTTACAACCCCCGCTTGTACCCTTGGGGTACACATTAACCAAATGAATCAATATGAGCCTTCCTACTCTGGAGGTGTAACTTACATCAAACTGGTATGCATCATTAAGCAAAGATTACAAAGCTGTAATTTGCAGGTTATAGGTGAGATCAAACCAAAGGGTTCTATTCAGCTACATGGTTGTCACTCCACTCTGTCATTGTCAAAAAAATTGAGATGATAGTACTTCTTAAAGGATCTTTATGAAAATAAAGACCATTTTAAGTCTTCCTTTGGTGACAATCCTCAAATAAAATAGAATTACCACCATATTTGTAGTATCTGGAGGCTATTGCATAAAACTTTAGGAAAGATGGGAAAGGCATCTAAACCAGTGTGACAAACAGAAAAAAAAATATCCACATAATCAGCCTTAAATATGCTAATGCCCTTTTAGAGAAATTAAATTTCTGGTCTTGGCACTTCAAAGGCTCCTAATATTCCAGGAACACATTTTCATTTATGACAAACAAACAAATCACAGCCCTCCTGGAGCTTATGTCTTTTTATTATTTTTCTATTTCTGAATAGCAGTAGAATATTTTGATCTTCCTCTTGAGCTTGATCAGTTGCAGTCAGATTAAAGAAACTGCTACAATTTTCAATATTTAAAAAGCGGGTGTTATTCAAGTCAAACCCAACTTAGGTGGAAGTATGAACACCAAAAAAAAAATATTTTTTCTGGATATAGGACCCAGATGAGATCTAAGAATCGAACTCAGCTAGCTACTCCAGTAATTCCACTTCAATCATGCAAATTGTCCAACTAACTTTAAAAAAGGCTGATTGCATGCTGCTTATGTTTGTCAAAAAAAGCTATGTTTCATACCCTCATATCTGTAACATGACAACACACCTGTCACTATAGCAGGCTGTAAGTGGTATAGAGAAAAGGTTAATTCTGGCAAGCTATTTCCCTATTGCTGTTTTTCAGTGAGCTTCTGGAACAATACATTATACATATGAAACAGATCAGCAGGGAAATGGAATATTTAAGTATTTCCAAACTCATCAGTGCT